TGCTGGTTCAGAGTGTTGTTAGGGGTTTAAGTTGAGAGTGGAAAACTGATGGTTGCTCAAAATGAAGAGGAGGTACAATTGCAAAACTTAAAAAATATTTGACTAGTATAGATAGTCTTTGCTTAACGACCCTAATTGGGACCAGCAACTCTTGTTAAGTGAAGTTGCTAAGTGGGAAGTCATGTGACCGTGATTGTGCTTTTTGGCTGAAAAGAGACAAGACTACTCAGTTTCACACCTTCAGCTTTTGCTTGTCTTCTAATCATCCCTCCACCCCTTAAAATGCTCAAGTGTCTATTTATTGTCTTATACATGCAATGCAATCATGCTGCAGCCTGGGGCTGGGAGCACATGCTACACGAAGAGTTTACTCTCTTGAAATCAGAGGTGGGCTGCTGCTGATTCAGACCAGTTCACCCAAACCGGTTTCTCCAAATCTGCACGGTTCAGAGAACCGACAAATTGGACCACTGGCTGGCCCCGCCTCTGCCTGTTTTTCGGGCTGTTTTTGGCCATTTTCAGGCCATTTTTCAGGCTGTTTTCAGGCCATCTTTCCAGCCAAAATTGGCCTGAAAAACAGCCTGAAAACACCCCAAAAACAGGCCAGTTTTGGGACCATTTTCAGGCTGTTTTTCCAGCCAAAATCCCATGCGATTTTGTGCAAAAATTCACAGCATTCCCATGCAAAGAGAGAGGAACAGCATTCCCTAGCAGAGAGAGAGGAACAGCATTCCCTAGCAGAGAGGGGAAGAGTACGAGGTTGCTGTTTCTGGGACAAGGGGATCTAGGGACAAGGGGATCTAGGGACAAGTCTGGGTCCGGCTTACCCAGCTTTTCTTCCTCTCACAGCCAGCTTTTTTGGGCTGTTTTCAGGCCGTTTTTCAGTCCAAAAACAGCCTGGAAAACAGCCCAAAAAACTGGCTGCGAGAGGAAATGAAGCCAGGTGAGTCAGACCCAGACGTGTTCCAGGTCGCTTCATCCCAGAAGAAGCAACCTCGCATTCTCCCCTCTCTGATAGCCCCCTTCTTCACATGGGATCATCCAGCAGCAGACAGAGAGGGAGAAGAGGGCAGCGGCAGCTGCTAGCATTGAGGGGACAGTGCCACAGAAATGGGAGCACACAGAAACGCTGCCCCTTCTCCCTTTCCGACTCGGTTGCTGGGAGATCCTGTGTGAAGAAGGGGGCTAGCAGAGAGGGGAGAACGTGAGGTTGCTGCTTCTGGGATGAGGGAACCCGGGAAGCGTCTGGGTCCAGTTTACCCAACTTCTCTTCTTCTCACAACCAGCTTTCCCAGTCTAGCTTGACACAGTCTCTCTCTTTTTCACACACACAAACAGGTTGGATCTTTCTTTCCTCCCCCCACCCATCGGAGACCCCTGGATTCCCTCTCCAACCCTGCCTGTCCCATACAGGTACCACCCACACAAGTGGTGTAGAGTTGGCCACACCCACTCAGTCACATGGAAACCCACCCACCCACTCACGCCCACCCAGCCAGCCATTAGGGCAGAGAATCTAATGTTAAAAAATTTGGAGCCCACCACTGCTTGAAATTCTTTTCAATCTTTTGCAATCACTCCACTCAGAGAGGGGGTCAGGCAAAGGAGAAATGGCCTACAGAAATTACTTGCTTCCGCCATCACAGAATGGAGAGATTGGAGGCAAAGAGATCAAGAGTGAGCTTTTTGTTCTTCTGAACACCAAGATAAATGTGATCCTGACAGCAGTAAAAAGAGTCAGGCAAAGGAGATATTACCTACAATCACATGTTCCCCTCCCCCCAAGTGGACAGAAGGAAGAGAAAAGAAGAGAAGAGAAGAAGAGAAGAGGTCTGTTAAATACAATTACCTTTTCGGTATATGACAAATGACTTGAGCCAAGAAATAAAATTAGGTTTCATCAAATTACTAAATTTGATCAGGGTAGTATTTCAGTTTATAGCAACTAACAATAAAACTTTTCTTAATCTTTAGAGGTACTAAAATTTCAGTTTATTCGTTAGTCAATTACTAAGCAGAAACCCCATCCAACAATCCATTTTTCAATGAACTTTTAAAATATTACACAATATCTTCTACTAAAAGGATAAAAGAGAAGAATGAAAACCAAGCCAGAACAAATAATCCAACTCAATTTAAGTGTAAGGTAATATCCTATATGTCAAGTTTGTATGTAGTTGGTACTTGCTTGCTCACCCTCTGAAGCTTTCTTTGCTTTTACAGTTTACCTTGGAACAATGGAACCACATTTTAGTGGTCAAAGTATTTAAAAAAGCATAAGAAAGAAATGCATGTGTAAACAATGCGCTGGAAACATAAAGAGCCCATGATTCCCTAGCTCATGGTATAAACTTGACAAACATCTCTATCCTTTTTTGAATCATTTAATGAGCGCGATTTTAGATTGTGGGCTATGGGAATAAACTTCACATTTTATTAAGAGCAAAACATGCTCTGCATTATCTACATGTTATATTTGCATTAAAGAAAAAAAAACTTTTCCAAGAATCTCAGAAAGTATGTAAATCCCAAATTATCACAGATTACAATGGTTAGAGTTAGTATTCATTTACTGAACATATATGTTCAGCAAGTGTTTGAAGTCATGCCAGTGCTGAAAAAAAATACTTTTATAGACCATTTATAAGCATTTGCAAACTTTGCAGTATCAGTTAAGTGATCACCATTACAGTCATTATTTAGTATGCGCTGTCCTGTGTTCTTTTTCTTTTTTCCCTCCTTGTAGAGCAGAGATTAGAGACAAAGGAAATAGATGTTGCTCTTCTAACCGCTGAAAGTGATCTCAGTCTGTGGGCCAGTTTACAGTAGTCTCTTCTCTTCTCTTCTCTTCTCTTCTCTTCTCTTCTCTTCTCTCCTCTCCTCTCCTCTCCTCTCCTCTCCTCTCCTCTCCTCTCCTCTTTTTTCATTGGTCTAGAACACAGCTTTGTGGTATTTGCTGATCATTTGTAAGCTGGAATTGCACAGTAAAATTGGTCAAATTATGCAGATCTTTGGACATCTTTAATTTTAGAAACAAAAGGATCTCTTTTTAATCTGATATTAAGAATGGATCTCATATTGTTTCATGTCTTTTATGAAATTGGTGCCTGAATGGGAACTGAAAAATTATTAAATGATCTGAATTAGGCTTCCTGTTTTTGTAACTTCTAACAAGGTGTTACTTGTAAGAAATGTTTTGTGATTTCATCATGTAAAGGGCAGAAGTATTATAAACCAAATATATAAACTGTCGAAGTAAGTATTGTTTAAGTATCTTGTAGGGAGATGGAAAAAATTGATTATCATTTCAGTGAAATCTCAATGTAATGGACCAATTGAGAAGGAGAGGGGTTTTTTTTTTTTTTTGCATCAAAATATCTGAAATCCTAGAATAAATAAATTTGTCATAGAAACATATAATGTTCCTATTTCACATAATGGATTTGTCACAAAGAAGAAGGTAGGGTTACAACTGCCATAACCTTAATTGTTCATTTTTTGGAAGAAAAAAGATATATATTACTCATGGTATAGAATAAGATACTGTGTTTCCCCGAAAATAAGACCCTGTCTTATATTTTTTTGAACCCTGAAATAAGTGCTTGGCCTTATTGTCATGCGCTCAAAAGCCCGATTGGGTTTATTATCAGGGGATGTTATTTTGGGGGAAACAGGGTGGAATATGATGAAAGCACAGTATGTTTTAAGTTGTAGAGAATTTATATATTGATATATTGATATGCTAATGTTTCATAAAACCAGAGCACTTAATTTCAAGAAAAGTGAGACTTCAACTAAATGTGGATCTAGCAGGACTAATATGGTGATTATCATCATCGTTATTTACCTGCACTTTGAAAACAAAATGTAAAGCTAAAGGGTTTTAGAATCTTAGAATCCATCTAAGTTATCTTAGTATGATTTTAATCCATTTTAGTATGATTTTAGGTAAATTGCAAAGGAAAAAAAAACAATTGCACTCTTCATGTTCATGTTCACATTCTGATATTTATCATCCACCTTCCAATCCCATCCTTTGAATGCATATGTTGTTTAGAATATTTGTTAAATGCTGAGCTGATTTTATAGTCAACTTGTGTTTGTATATTATTCCATTTGTGTAGATACCTTCTGAGCAATGTGTTGTTAGTGCAACTGAAATTCCAACAAGTTAGCCAAATTGCTTTTCCACTGCTATTTTCCCCCTAAAATTGAAAACATCAGTTTCCTGTCTGTCCAGTGCAAATTCTTGTATGCAATTTTAAACTGATCTTTTAGAGAGCTGTTCAGAGTTGTGAACAAGAGCACCCTCTTACTTTTTACAAACAACTAGTTTAATACTGTAATAAAAAATAGGAGATTGACTATTTATAGATTGTAATTTGGAAAACTAGTGTTTCCAAATTTGTTTAATGATAGGAAGTTGCTTACTAAGGTGGGAAGAAGCCTAACAAATGATAGGATATTCTGCAATTGAGTCACATTTAATCAAAAAAGCAGTTTTATGCATCTGTTTCATTAAGTATTAGATGTTTATCATGGAATTGATGCATGTTTTATAAAAGTAATTAAGTTTGACATGTGTTGAATTTATTTGAAAGGGTATTGCAAGTATGATTTTGACAGTAGCACTCTTTTCAATAGTAGAGGTACAGAATTTAGAAAATGCCACTGTTTCTAAATAGTTAAAATATCAAAATTAGTTCTTTGAGTCTGTTCAGAGATAGTCTGTTCAGAGTCAGTTCATTTCCAAAATAAATATTTGGGGTACTAGTATCACCGGCTGATATGCTAACCATCAGTCGATGTATCAATTTTATTTCTTGGCATGTATAAATTATTTCTCTGTGTACATAAATTGCTGTTTTTATTTAATGTCTAAAACAAATAACTAGAAACAAAAATAGAAAACTACCACTAGAAAGGCCAGAAGAGATACTGTTTGGGGAAAAAGTTAGCATTAAAGCTGTTTACCAAATCCTTGTTCCATTGTGTTTCAGAACCATGGTGCTATGGAAAGGAATTTATTTTGTACTTGCGCTCTTTTTGGGAAGTTTTTTTGGAAGCATCTTCATGCTTGGTCCCCTACTGCCACTGATGTCTATTTCCCCAGCTTGGTATCGCTGGCTTACTGATCGTGTTGTGGCTACTTGGTTTACTCTTCCAGTGGTAAGTTGCTTATGTCTATAATTTATAAACTCTTCCGCACCCCACTCCCATGTTCCAAAGTAATATATTGTGTCATGCCAGATAATATGCTTTAAAACTCAGTATAAAATGTTTAAACAAGGCTGGTATACTAGCTTTGGATTGGTGAATAAATGGCAACTATGCTAGATATATTGGTTGGACATTGGTTGCAAAATTACTTTTTCATCACCGTCGTAACTGTGAATGATCCCTATGTGAGGCAGAGTCAGTCCAGAAGGATACTAGGATCAATTTTGATACAAAAATTCTCTGAAGTCTATGAAAGATCAAGGAGATGTAGGATGAATGTGCTGTCCCCCATCTTGTTTCCATTAGAAGTTATCAACAAACACAAATAACGTTGTTTGGTCCCATACCCAGAACTCAAACTAGATTGAAAGTGGTATAAATGAATCTTCCTTTTTTCAGGATTCTGTGAAGCTATAGCATAACTACTTTCTTAGCAAGTTTCCTTAAAAAGGGAAATTGGAGCTGAAAATTATCCAATATGGCCCCGGAATAGCTTCTTGAGCTTTCTTTAATTATTGGTGGGACCACCCTCTCTTTCAAGGATAATCCCCCCCCGCCCCCCAAGGCTCAATAACATTGTCTCCCCCAAGGTTCAATAACATATTGTCTTCCAGGAAGCCTTGGCTAATTAGGAGGGTCATAGCTCTAAAACACAGGAGGCCAAGTTAATAGTCCAAGAAGCCTGTTTACTTCATTAGGACTATCAGGATGAAATTCATCCCAGATAACCAGGTTATGGAAATTTGATTAGTTGTTGAGGAACTTAGTGTCAAAGGACTTAATAATATTAGCTCTTAAGCTATGCAAAGCTTTGATTCAATTATTCCTTTAAACTGAGTGTTGATTCAATGCATCAAATTGGTTCCTTTGAATTATTCAACACTTCCGTGAACTTTTGTGCATGTATACTCTCACTTTTTATCTAATTGACTATTTGAATTGCAATTTGTCTACTCCTAAGAAACAGAATATGAAATTTGCAAAATAGGGAAACATTGCCCATTTCTATTCTGAACGGGTTTGCTGTTTTTAGCCAAGTGTGTAATATTGCAGCCAGTACAAATGAAGAGGAGGGTTAGCTCATTCCTTTAATTGAAAATACCTAGAGCTTCCAGGCTCCAAATGATTATATGTAAAACCTCTTTCCTCAAAAAGTATCTGCAGCAAGTGTGATTGTGGAGGAGGGGTATGAAGGAAAAATGGCTCTTCTGTCTTTCATTATTTTCTAAAAATACTGCCAACAAATGATTTCAGAAATCTGTTGCTTTATTGAGTGCCAAGTAAGATGAGCAAACTAAAGTCCCAGGGGTTTATGCTAAAAACTTTTCCATGGTGAGTCTGAGGAGGAGCCCATATAGACTGTTCTCCTACAAGTTGGGGCTCCTGATGGATAGAACTGAAAAGTGAAGATATCCAAGTGGGAGGTGGTGTGGGTATAGCTTAGGCCCTCAGAATGTTACTAAATCACATCTTCAACTAGTTCTAATCAAATGAAGAATGAAGCATGCTAGGAGTTGTAATTTAAATATAATAAGGGGAGCTGTTAGTCCTCCCCTCCTGCTTTTATATGTTGGGTAAGCAATACATTCCATTGGATTAAATTGTACTTTCTCCTAAAGAAGTATACTTAGCTTCAGTGACTTAGCCATTTGCTGCAAAGAAAAATTTGAAAGTTAACTGGAAGAACATTGAACAGTAAAAGAAAATGGCTATTTCCTTTGAAATAATTGATACTCAGAATTTACTAAGATGAGTATCAAAAAAGATCAACCATTAAAAAATGTATTATTCTACTTTGGAATGGAAAATATAGTAATACTTGATTTGTTATACATTGTCCATAAAATCCTGCACGCCATTTATTTTATTTGTGTTTTCTTCTTTTAGGTAATGCACATTATTTTATTTGAGAAATATGATAAAAGATAGGATCTCTACTAACATTACTTCAGTGAGCCTCAGTGGCTATTAGCCCCATCAAGTAGATTAGGCCAAGAATCAACTCCATTAGGACTGAAATTACTTTTATTGAAACTACTTGTATTTTATTATTAAAATACAGCCTATTTTACTGACTGTAATAATATAAAAACAGAAGTCTAATTGTGCTATCCCTTCTCCCATTCTTATAATCACTGAATTAGAGAGGTTTCTGTATAAGCTGCTTACACATTTTTTGCTTATTATAGACTTAAATATGTTTTTATCTCTCATTGCTTTGATAAAAGATCTTGCCTTTGATCATTGCTTTGATAAAAGACCTTGCTTATTCTATACTGTCAGGTCTCCTCTCTTAGGATATTTTGCCCTTTGCCTGCTCAGCAATAGCTACTTATTTTAGTTCTGATGTGTTAGTATTAATAATAATGAAGCTTTTTAAAAAATTTACCCACTAGGTTTTAGTTTTACCCACACCTAAATCTTGTTTCCTGTTTTTAAATGTTATCTTGACTAATCTAGATAATTGGTTGGTCTATTTCCACTTTTTAAATTATAATTTTATTGCTATTTTATGTAAAAAACAACAACAAAGTTTGTGAAGTCACCAGGCAGATTTGTCAGTAGAAAGATCTTAAGTATTCATATTAAGCAGGGTTATACAAGCTTTTTGAGCCATTTTGTTTAAGGCTATAAATCCTGAAACCTTGAGTTCTAGTCCTGTCTTGGGCACAAAGCCAACTGGATGACCTTGGGTCAGCCTCTTTATCTCTCAGCCATAGGAATGAGGCAATGGCAAACCACTTCTGAAAATTTTTGCCAAGAAAACTGCAGGGACTTGTCCGGGCAGTCTCTGAAAATCAGACATGATTGAATGGATTTTTTTTTAAAAAAAAATGCAAACCTTAATCTAATACTAAAACTTTTAATGTGTATCTTGAGATAAATCAATGTTTGTAAAACATGGTTTTATATAAACACAGACTCTTTTCTTCCTAAGTGTAGGATTTATTTGTCTCCCTAAGTAATAATAGAATTTAGAAGACTCAACAACATGCAACTTTCTGTCATCTCAAAATGGATTCTAAATATCTAATACTTCAAGTGTACATTAGATACTTCTGGACTCCATTATATTTGTTTATCTCGCTCTTGCCTAAAAGCCTGCAAAGTATTTTAGCATATGTCCCACCTATAATGTCACTAGCGCTCTCATCCTGTGTATTCCTTAAACCAAGACTGAGGAAGTGTGATGTAGGAAAACCTCAGAACTCCAAAGTAATAGCTCCTGAAAGTCACAGCTAACTCAGCAGCAGGGCACAAAGCCACAATGCCCTGGGGATCTCAGCCACTCACAGTCTCCTGCCACCCTGTGTTTGTCACTGCAGCTGACCTTCAATCTTGCTCCAACTATTGATGAGGTGTGCCCACCCTGGCAGTTCATGATGCAGCTGCTGGCTAAGCAAGGCCATCTTCCCCAGGTCTTGCATGGAAACCACTGTGTGTGACCTTGGGAATAAAGCCTCGGAGAGCCAGCAATTGTATTGAGAAAGACCATTCTGGTCAGATACAGTGTTGATGGCCGCGGAGTACAAGAAGCCACAATGGCACAGATGGAGGGGTGAGATACGTGGGAAGGGGGAGTTGTAGTGCTCTTGTGGCTATAAATCCATAAAAGTATGGTGGCAAACTGCCACATCATCAAAATATAACTTCCCATTTTCTTTTTAAAAGGAAAGCAAGAGAAAAAATGGTTTTAAATGTTCAATACTTTCCAAAGCCTGTTACTGAGGTCTGCAGAGTGGTATCTCACAGAGCAGTCCTTGGTCATTGTTTGCCCGAATAATGCCTACCGACTACCGTACTTTCTGAATGTGCAAGGGCTCTGCCACAAGCACCAATTCAGTGCAGTGCAAAGAGGTTCATGTGAAAAAGATGTTCATGACTTTATAATGAAATATGTTTAATTTGAAACAGTATGTCTGTTTTCTGTTTCTTTTACAACATAACTAAAGCTTCTTTCAGACCATGTGGTGATTCAGTAAGACACTGTTTCAGTGTTTAGCAAGTAAGGATTGCCCCACAGTTCTACATTTTCTTTCATCCTCTGTGGTTGAACAATATGCCAACCCTCAAATTAAGCTAAGTTTCCACTGGAGTTTGAAGAAATACTGAAAATTATTGATTTACTCCTTTAGGGTATAACTCCTGTATGTATCAACAACCCCCTAAATAGAGGTTGAAAAATTAACTTCTCCCACATTTCTGTCTACAAGTATCTTGTATACTTATTTTTTTCTTTCTTTTATAGCAGGATTAGGCAACCTTATTTGGCTAGCAGACACCTTTAGAATTTTAAAAAACATCTCTGGGTACTCTGACAAAGTGATTGCCTTGGAAACACATCCAGTTATAAAACACATATACCAAAGGCAAATTGGTCTCTGTGATTCGCTGTATCCCAGTTTAACTTTCTTTTTTGCTGGGCTCGTTGATACTTGCTTAGTCTTCTAAAAAGATTTTTTGGAGGCTTCTGGGAGGCCTATATTATAAAACAAAAGCTTGAAATGGTTTACAACAACTATAAAAACATCCAAAAATTAAAGCAAAATACAACAGGTGTAAAAGCAGAATAAAATGAATTCATTATATAAACTTTCTTTTAAATGTGTATGAAACTACAGGAACCCATTTGAATATTTTTTAAATAAATAAAATAAAAATAAAGTGAGATGGAGCTCTGTAAATACCGGGGAGACATCTCTGGACATTGTATTCCCTGTTAAATAAAATTCAAGATCAGAACTGGGTTAACTGGATGTTTTGGGTTTTTTTTTTTTTTTTAGATTTTATCCCATCCTTTTTTTATGAACAACTTAAGGTAGCCAGCATACCTAATATTCCTCCTTCCTCTTATTTTCCCAGAACAATCTGGAGGTGAATTGAGCTGAGAGTCACTATCCCAAAGTCCCCCACCTGGTTTTTCATGCCTAAAAGAAAACTAGAACTCACAATCCTCTGAATTAGAGTAATACTATTTAAATCATTATTTCTCGTGATATAGAATCTGTACATAAAACTTTTGAAATAAAAGTAGTGACCAAAAGATTTTCTGAGGTATTAGACTCATCTTACATAGCCATGCAGTTGCTATTATTATTCATTTATGCAGTTATATTATTGTGAAAAGTTTTTTGTAGGATTCTCATATAATATTTTTGGTTTTTATGTAGGCCCTGCTGGAGATAGTGTTTGGGTCAAAAGTAGTCATAACAGGTGATGGATTCATCCCCGGAGAAAGAAGTGTCATAATCATGAATCATCGAACACGAATGGATTGGATGTTTTTATGGAGTTGCTTGCTGAGATATAGCTACCTCCGACTTGAAAAAATCTGCCTCAAATCTAGTCTCAAAGTCATTCCGGGATTTGGTAGGTTATTGATTGATTGATTTATAATAGTCTAAAATATATTATTTTTGTTAACTGTCCTGAGGGCCCTCTGGAGCCTCTTGGAGAGAAAAGTCCCAGAATGATAAAGGTGTTTAACATTATATATAACCTTCTTTTCATTGTACCAAAGCAAATATAGATCTTGCTCCAAGTATGTTTTTTTTTTTTAATTTTCTCTTCATATATCATACAAATTGATTTGCATTTAATTTTAGTTTTTAGCCTTTTGTATGACAGCCATACTGGATTAGATCATTCAAGTCTTCTACCTGCTTTCCATAGTGTTCAACCAGATATCTTTGACAAACCCACAGTGAAGAAATTGGATTAATAAGCTTCTCTTTAACAATTTATTAACTCGAGTTAATAGATAACCTTTGTGATTAGAAATTATTGAGTAAGTTTATTTTGGGTCTTTTTTATTTTTATGTTTTAACTCTATCAAGAAAACAATTTCTTTCTGTTTCAGAATTCCAAATTCTGCTGTTAGTAGTTACATTATTGTTGGCATTTATGTGTGATAGTATAGAAATTGTATAGTGTTAGATTTAAATGTGAATCAGCTTAGTATTTATTGAAGAATAAGACCTGTACCCTAGTCTTCATTTTAAACAAGCTACAATTCAAATACTGAAATCAAATTATTTAAAAGAACTGAGATATAGGTATACTTGGCTCCTATCTGCAAGCAATAAACCAAGTTCAGAGAGCACCAAGGACTTCACATCCTATTTCGTTTTGTCTTATAATTGGCAAGAACAGAACTAAAGTTAAGATACAAACAGGCAACACTTTCAGATATGGCAAAGGTATCGACAACCACAATTTATATGGGGAACTATCAAAACATTGCTTTTATTTTGTTTTATCTTTAATGTCAAGTCACTAGAAATAAATTACTCAGAGCATGTACAATATTATGAGGACATAACCTTGGTTGAGAGCTCTGCTGTACTAGTGGCCATTTGAGCCAGTACCCATTTGAGGGGCTCACAAACAGGGCATAGAACAACCACCTTCTCACCATTTGACATTCACTAACCTGTCAAAATAATGAAAAAGAGAACTTTTGTCTTTATCCATGAGAGTTGTTACAATCTTTGCTGCTGAAGTGAGCATTCATAATAAATCACTGATGCATGGAAATGAACTATGTGCTAGTTTAACAACTCCACAAAGTTGTTAATTATGGTAACCATAGTTTGTTTATCTATCATTCATTCATTCATTCCACAGCAGCACAAAACTGGCAAAATGTGTAAGTTGAAGTGAGTAGCTATTTAGAACTGTCTGTATTTTTTCTTTTGCCTTTAGTTGTATTTCAATGGAATTGGCCAGTTTGGGCATATTTGGCTTGTACAGGATGGTGCTCCAATTTCTACAGATATTAATAAATACATAATATAAAACCAGCAAGTAATATATAAGTAATCTAAAAAAAACATGAATTAATGTATATATTGAGAAAACAATTTAAAAGAATGAACCTTTCAAATGCAAGACTATCACAGTCCTACAAGGTCTACTTATTCTTCAAGAGCCTTTCATCATACTATTTTTTAGAATTAATAATGTCTTTATATTTTTACTTTTGCATATAGAACATCATAGTATGACGTTAGCACATCAAAGCATGACACAGATATTGGGCTGTTTATTTTATTGATTAAATAAATTTCTACCTCAGCACAATTCAACAAAGATTCTTCATGGCTTACATGGAGTAAATACTGTAATACTATTAAAATATTCACAATGCAGTCTAAAAATTCAGTGGTCATAAATAAGAGGCAGTAACAATAAACAACATGAGCAAAATCACAATAATACCATAAAAATATGAAATAAAAAAAAATAAAGTGGAGACATCAAGTCAGAGGAAATGTTTTCAAAACAGTTCTTCCAAACTACTTAGTAGCTGAATTGTGAAGAGTCACTATGAGAGGACAGCCAAAGTTGCAAGGCCATCTGTATCCATCTCTCATGTACATTATGCCTATGTATTCTTACTTTTTTAGAAGCTAAAAAATAGAGCTGGTTGTTTTTAAATAGAATTACATTGTCTTGGGGTCAGAGAACTAGCTGCTATTTGTTGTTAAGTGTGGTGCCCAAGAAAAAGAGGCCAAAGAGTTCCTGGTTGACTGAAGATGTGACATAGTGTCCAGTGACAACATAATGGGTTATGGTACCTTTAGTGTGAAAACTGGTGATGATGACATGGGAACAAATCAGGATGCCCCTTCCTAAAAATCCACAGCAGTAGGTGAGTTAGCACCTCGAACATGGTCACCAGCAAGCTCAAAGTGTTATCAGTGTGAAGAGGTAAGGATGTGCCCAGCCACAGAACATGTACCTGAGAGGTAAATATTTTCTCTCACTATTGAGAGAAAGTAAAGAATATCATCACTAGATAAATAATTACGGCTAATTAAGAGAGAGAAAGGGTAAAAGGTGAATTGAACAAAGACAGAAATGTAAGAAAAGAAATATAGGAACAAAGATAAAGCAATTTGGAATGTGAGAATAGTTTAGAAATGCATGTTTATTAAGATAGAATAGCTATGAAGATGGGTTGTGCAAGAAAATCCTTGTAAATAGGAGTCCACATACTGTTCAAAGACTGAAGCAACACAGTTTATTTTGCAACAGTCCATTTATAGTTAAAGTGATTTCCCAACCAGGAATTGCCTTGTATTTTGCTTTAATTTGTCACTATGCTTGTACTTACCATCCTATCCATAATTCCTTAGAGGGAGGCCTGTTGTTATACTTTGCAAGCCAATATCTGAATAGAGTCAAAGGTTTTGTATGTGTGTGTATGTCCTGTGTCCCTTTAAACCTTGTATAAATAGCTTGTCGTTTGCTTTGTGGATTTTAGGTGATGACCTTTTTAAGTGAGAGTCTGATCAACAGTGTCATATGATGTCTTCCAGCAATTCTATCAGGAGCTGTCAGACTTAAAGTTACTTAGAGTTATTTATATTGTGAATTAGCTGTGAGTCCACATGATGGAAAGTGTTCCTTATAATGTTATCATTTTTACCAAATTATTTACATCAGAAAATTTGGTTTACACCAATTTTTTTTTTTGCAATACGAATTTTAATGCTGATCTAGATAAGAGGAAAGAACACGAGTTTTAGAGAAATTGGAAATGATAGTTCTGCAGAGGTAATCATAGAAAATGTTATCTAATTTGATAATTAATCAAGTCTAAATCTCAGTCTAGTTTTTTCAGTGGAATTTTTGTTAGAAGAAATGGCATCAATAATAATTTCAATGGAACAAAAAACATTTAAATCACAATTTCATTTTAAGCATTTTGATAACGTTTCTTCTGGTTTCCCTCTTGGTTGTTGCAATCCAGCATTGAAGTTTGGCCTGGAACTGATTGCACAGCCACTTCCCCAAAAATTGTGTATCTCTGTGTGTATAATTTTTGATTTTCAGAAATATTCATGAAACAAGCTTGCTTTGCCCCATCAACAATATATAAAGCAATCTCTATAGTTTATAACAGAGGTCCTCAACGTCTGGTTCGGGCTGTGATCCATTGGGAACTGGGCTGGGCAAGCAGTAGGCAAGTGTGCGAAGCTGCATTTGCACAAGTAGTACACGCAAATGTGAAACTATCCTCCCCTTCTGCTGATCCACCATGCCAGAAAGATTGGGGATTGCTGCTTTATAACACATAACAAGATGGTATCTATGGTTTATAGTATGCATATAATTTTGATGAATTATTTGGCTGTAGAGAAATATCAAGTATCTGGCTGTTTTATAGTAAAAACAATTGAAATTTGATGAACCACAAGATCAGCTTCTCCTCATGGATGTCTTCAGCTGTGTTGGAGTTGAGAGAATTTCCCAGAATTTTAGAAATTGTAATACCCATACATCCTGAGGGTACCAAATTGTAAAAAAAATTTGCTCAGTTATTAATAAGAAGAGAAATGGTTAATGGTGAATAATGTAGAAGTCTACTAATAGAAAATAGAATTTGGAAAGGGTTGAAATGGTGCTGCTATTTTTTTGCCATTTTTAAAACAATAATTAAAATTATATATAGTGTGATAGTTCTGTACTTAATATTTAATTCTCTAATGTGCTTAGACTCGTGTATATTTCATAATATTGAAGGATTTAATATTTAAACTCAGTTCAGAAGGAAAATAGAAGTAATGGCATTCATTTTTTGCAAACTTTGACAGTTTGGTTAGACATCTGTTTCCTCTTAAAAATCATCCCTAAGGAACAAAATGTAGAATTTATTCCAGTAGAAATATAAGTTTCTAATTAGCCCTTAACATCAGCAGAATGGGAAAGGGGGATCGTTTTTCCTGCACCCCCTTCAAAGTCTCCTTAAAAATAGATTATGAAACATTTTCTTCAAATTATTTAGAGGAAGAAATTTCCATTCTTTGGGATCAAGCCATTGTTGCTGCAACATTTTATTGTATGAATGTAGATTTGATTTTAAAAACAGTTAATGTAAATCTTGCTTTTCCACAGGTTTTAGCAACATATCTCAAAATCTTTATGTTTTTAATATAATCATAGACACTATGATATTTTTTTTACTAATAAATATATTGAGTTCTTATATTAAAACATCTTTGTATACTTTGGGAATCTAAATCATGTTCAGGGACCATCCAAATAAATAAATAATTCAGTGTTTAAGAAATTCTCCAAATTTGTTATAGGTTGGGCCATGCAGGTTGCTGCCTTCATTTTCATTCAGAGAAATTGGGAAGAAGACAAACATCATTTTGGAAATATGCTGGATTATTTTTGTGATATCCATGAACCTCTACAGCTTCTTATCTTTCCTGAAGGAACTGATCTCACAGGTAGCTCATTGTTACTTAATTTAATGCTCCACAATGCATTTAAGACATTTGTTGGAAATACTATAAGTAGGTTGAATTACAGTAATACGATACCAGAAAAGGATTTTACCATTAAATCCAGAACATTAAATAGTTATTTGTAAACACTTCTTAAAGCATAGATGTCCAACCTTTTGGCTTGCCTGAGTTGTATAGAGTGAAGAGGAATTGTCTTGGCTTGCATATAAAATATATAATATAATTAATGTAATATTGATAGTTCCAAAAATAAGGTCATAGAATTGATGTGAAAGAGTTTTGGATAGAATTTTAAAAATGCACATCCAGAATTTAGCACAGAAGAGTGGCGTGGTGGTCAACTGGTGAAGATGCTCGTCTCCCATTCAGAAGGTTGAAAGTTCAATTCTAGGTAGTGGCAGATGTTCCTCGGGGAGCAAAGAGAAAATAACTGCTTCAAACTCCATGTAGGTATGAAGAAGGGCATCTGGCCACTAAACACTCAATTCCATTCAGCCGCCCTGACTTTACCCCAAATTAAGGGATTACAGGGTCATTAAAAGAAAAACAATTCAGCACAGGACAGAAGTGAACAAAGGTTGAAAAGATAAAGTGTCAGTATCAGGCTGGCAAAAATACTGACATTCTAATTAAATGCAAGTTATCATGGTGGTCTTGGGTTTGTTTTTTTTAAATTGGCAATATTTTTGCTTGTTCTTTCTATTCAATTACAGCAGCATTTCTTTATATATCAAGTCAGACAACTGAGATCCAGAATTAATCAACATGTTCAGTATAAACCAAAATGCTATTGACCAGGTTACTAGTTAGTGAAGAATATTTCATTTTTATTATGTGTCTGAGAGTTAAATCATTCTTATAATGTGTTGCCAGGCAAAGTTATGCTATATAGTATTAAGTAAAGAGTAGTTCTTTCACATCTTTGTGCGTAGTAATGACTAGAATAAATAAGTAAAGTTAAATGTTTACTTTTGCTTGTATTAAATAAATAGTGGAAAAATATTTTTGGAAATCTGATAATAGAATTAGTAGAATATTTATGATGAAACACGTCTAAGATCTTTTTGGCACGATTTTATATCATACTAAGTTGTTTTATCTATAATTTTCTGTGTCATATAAATTTAATTTAAAATGTTTAAAGTGAAAAAATATGTAACATTTTATCTTCAGCTTTTATTTTTTTGCATTATTTTATTAGTTTTTCAGGCATTCTTAATTGTTTTTCATACTTTTAAGGATGGTGATAATATTATTCTATTTAGGTATAGGAAAAGAAAAAAGAAACTTGTTTTAAAGAGTTCTATTGTTTGGTTTGATTTGGTTTTTAATGTTAATATACTGAATAGAGAAGATTGTACTTCCTCACAAGTCCTGACATGTATCATTGCTCTTTGCTACTGCTGTTTCTCATTATATTATTCTCTCTGGATGCATAATGTCCCAAACATTTCCTGTTCATAAAAAGCATACTAACAAAATTTAGTTTTTGAACTTAACATAGTGCTTTCATTCTTCTTGTTGGATTTGAAAGAGGCAATCTTGTAGGCTGTTCGGAAGATTGAGTTTTTCATTAAAAAAACAACAATTTGTGCTTCTTGGTTAATGGAAATTAATATCTAAATTTGCAAGGTTTTCTCACATACTGCTTATCTGTATGGACTCCTAGATTCCTACTTGCTGTGCTTCATTACCTATTTATTCTTAACGAAAAGCAGAAATAATGTCTAATAAATATAACATTGGGGTCCTGAATCTGTTATCCTATAAAACCTAATAGATAGGTTCTAGGTGTTGTTGCTGATTCAACCTTTGGGACTTGGTCCTGCAATTTTTGAAACCCTTTTGGACCAAGGCAAACCATGACTGCTGCTCTCTCCTGACAGTTGTATTCTGCATTCTAAGAATTGGACTTTGGGAGTAAAGCTTGTGTCTATATTTATATAAGAAAGTGAAAGAAGTATTTTGTGATGATTTTTATTGAAATAAATGCATTCTATTATAACCTCTTTGATCCTTTATTCTAGTGATGTTCTCTGTAATGGTGAAATTTAAGGCATTTAATAATTGTTTTTCCTTCTACTTTTTTCTGTAGATGAAACTAAAGCCCGCAGTGATACATTTGCTGAAAAAAATGGACTTCAGAAGTATGAATATGTCTTGCACCCAAGAACTACAGGCTTCACTTTTATAGTGGATCGTTTAAGAGATGGTAATGCATGTTCAGATGCTCTTTTCAAAATAATGTATTTGAGATGAGAAATGCTGTTGGTGGCTAATTATTTCGAATTCTTGCTCTAAAATATCTTTTTAAAAGGTTTGTGTGTTTCAATAGATTTCCTTTCTTATTTACTCAGGGAAACTTTTTCCATGCTTGAAATAGGAAGTAATTTGATCACTTCCAATTAAGTTGCCAGCATTGTGTCATATTAAATTGCTTCCATTTTCTAAGTGAATTTTGCATTCTGAGGTAAGGAAATACCTACATTAAGTTTGGTATTGAGGCAAAATATACTTTTGTAAGTTTTCTTGCAGTTTTCCGCCTTATCTGGCAACAATGAGATTGTTATAATGTCAAAACAGTATTATCCACAACTTAATGTTACTATTCAAAGTCATTTATAGCGTCTTTGGTGAGGTGAACCATAAAAGCAACTTAATGTTGAGGTTCTGACTAACGATCCCAGGCAAATCAGAACTCCGAGGCCACTCATTTCCTCAAAGAACTTCTTTATTAGATACATCATATCGGCACGCTTAGTGAAAAACCAACTCTGAATCTTTCCCACGGTTTTGGCATAATTAAAGCCAGCAATAACCCCTTCCTGAAACGTCACTGGTCACGTTGGCCAATTAGGTTAATTGACGGGCTCCTCAAGCACTCTCCTCCTCCTCTTCCCATTACCTGGGAGATGACCGTGGTTCCCATGAGAAAGATCTATTTTGAATCTAGCAAAGCATTCCAACCTCCTGCCCTCTTATTTAGTGTGTGGCAACGATGAACTAGGAAAATGGCTTCTGCCAGGTTTAGTTCGGCATTGACACGTACAATAACTGGTCACTTATATTTTCTAGATTGTCGGTTGCCAATTATGGGTTGGCAACTATGGGCTAGATAACGATTGAATCATTTTTTATGCTGCCCCAGAATGCTTTGGCCATTTTTCCATGAAGTTACAATACTCTGAGGGAAGGCATCAGTGTTTCCCTACTTCTGTTGGTAATGGGAAAAAGAGATATTCAGCAATCATTAAGACACGGGGAAGTATCGTTGCTACTACTAGCAAGGAACTAATGATCTCAAAGAGAATTGAGGAGAAGTAGAGTCTTGCTGTCTGGGAGGAAGATGCAAAGATGGAACCTTTTTTTAGGTCGAGGACTGTACTTAAATTTAATTTAATAATGCTTCATGGCGAAGGTTGTTGAGAGTGTGGTTGCGCGACAGTTTCCGCAATTCCTGGAGGAAACATCCTATCTAGATCCGTTCCAGTCGGGTTTCAGGTCTGGGCACAGCACGGAAACGGCATTGGTCGCGTTGGTTGATGATCTCTGGAGGGCTTGGGACAGGGGTTGCTCCTCTGTTCTGGTCCTGTTAGACCTCTCAGGGGCTTTTGATACCATCGACCATGGTATCATGCTGCACCGGCTGGAAGAGTTGGGGGTGGGAGGCACCGTGTTATGGTGGTTCTCCTCCTTTCTCTCCGACCGGTCGCAGTTTGTGTTGGCAGGGGGGCAGAGGTCGACCTCGAGGCCTCTCATTTGTGGAGTGCCGCAGGGATCAGTCCTCTCGCCCCTTCTGTTCAACATTTATGTGAAGCCGCTGGGCGAGATCATCCGTGACTTCGGGGTGAGATACCACCAGTACGCTGATGACACCCAGCTGTACATCTCCACCACAGGCCACCCCAATGATGCCCTTGAAGTGATGTCCCAGTGCCTGGAGGCTGTGCGGATCTGGATGGGGAGGAATAGGCTCAAGCTCAACCCTTCCAAGACTGAGTGCTGTGACTCCCGGCATCCCGATATAGTCAGTTGACTCCATCACTGACTATTGGGGGCGAGTCGTTGGCCCCCACAGAGAGGGCTCGCAATCTGGGAGTCCTCCTGGAGGAACATCTGACGGCTGTAACCAGGGGGACCTTTTGTCAGGTTCGCCTGATTCGCCAGTTGCGGCCCTTTCTTGATCAGGATTCCCTGTGCACAGTCACTCATGCCCTTGTCACCTCCCGCCTTGACTACTGCAACACTCTCTACATGGGGCTCCCCTTGAAGAGCACCCGGAGGCTCCAACTGGTCCAGAACTCAGCAGCGCGGGTAGTGACAGGAGCAGCATGGTGCTCCCATGTAACACCGCTCCTGCGTGAGCTGCACTGGCTCCCGGTGGTCTTCCGGGTGCGCTTCAACGTGTTGGCTATCACCTTTAAAGCGCTTCATGGCATAAGGCCTAGCTATCTTCGAGACTGCCTGCTGCTACCGACGACCTCCCATCGACCCGTGCGCTCCCACAGAGAGGGCCTCCTCGGGGTGCCATCAGCCAAACAGTGCAGGCTGGTGACCCCCAGGGGGAGGGCCTTCTCTGTGGGGGCACCTACCCTCTGGAATCAGTTGCCCCCAGAGATAAGGAGAATCCAAGACCTCAGTGCCTTCCGTCGTGTCCTTAAAACCCATTTTTTCCAGCAAGCCGGGCTGGCTTAAGAAGAATTTTTTAAATTTTTAAATTTTTAAATGTTTTAATTGGTAGTGATTTTTAATTGGGCCAAATTTATATATCTTTTAATTGTTTTTAATATTTGTATTGCATGTTTTTAATTTTGGCTGTACACTGCCCTGAGTCCTCAGGGAGAAGGGCGGTATAGAAATTGGAAATAAAATAAAATAAAAAAAAATAAATTAATAGAATTTCCCAAATAGCAAATGCTTTTCATGTTTTGTCAGATTAAATATTGGGCGTCATGCTGTAGCTATTTAAAATGAGTTCAGCCTCTTCCAACTCTTTGTGATTCAGTGGACATCATTTTGCCATCATGTGTCAGGGACTGTTATTTGGGTTGTTAAAAGTTCATGCTTGCATGAGCTTTTAACAACTTACATAGATTTGTGCAAGTTTATATATAAAAAAGTACAATGTAGGCATTATGTATTCTGTTAGCCTCTTTTCCAATGATCTTTGGTGTTTCTAAATGTTCTAAAACATTTCTCTAGTATCCATGTCCTCTTATTATGTGTTCAAAATATCTTACTATTTTGCTTCATCATAAGTGCTTAAAATGAGCACTGTTCATCTAGGATTGAATTATTCATTTTTCTTGTAGACTATCGGATTATTTTTAATCAGTGTACTTCAGCATCACAGTTTAAAGATATCAGTTTGTTTTCATTCAGTTTTCACAGCCATGTCTAGTTCTAACAGTTTTTCTCCCAGTTAAAAGAAGGCTTTTTATTTCATTATTATAGTGAAAATTTAAGCCTACGAAATTAAAGTCTTTACTACTGCTGGTTCTTCTCTGCTATTTACATTGGCCTGTTGACATAATCTTAAAGTCTGTTTTTAATACTCTTTCACCTTCAGCAAGAAATTCTTTAAGTCTTCTTCACTTCTAGCCATCTAAATATCATTACCAGAATGTCTGAGATTGACGCTTCATCAAGTAAATTTAATTCCAATTGTTATTTCTTCTAGTCCATTATTTCCCATGGTGCATTTTGCTTGTAAGTTAAGTAGTACAGTGGTCTAAGGCACCCTGTTATTAAGCTGGTTATTAAGACCAGCTGCCTGCAATTACTGCAGGTTCGAATCTCGCCAAGGCTCAAGGTTGACTCAGCCTTCCATCCTTTCTAAGGTAGGTAAATTGAGGACCCAGTTGTGGGGGCAATAAGCTGACTTTGTATAAATATACAAAAGGATGAAGGCTGTTGCTGAGCACTTTGTAAGCCACCCTGAGTCTCCGGAGAAGGGCGGCATATAAATCATTTAAAAAAAAAAAAAAAAAAAAAGTAAATTAGGTGACTGTACATGGAACCTTAATGTACATGTTTCCCTCTTTTGAGTGATATGTATACAATTCCAACCTTTCTTTACTGAACATCATACATTTTTTTCAATAGGTAGATAGTGTGGGAAGTGTTTAAATGTAATCCTGTTTATTTAAATTTGGGTGCTGCCTGACTCTGAACTCTGGGTGGATTTCAATGTAATAAAACAATACAAAACAAGTTGGGGCTACAGTTACTTGGTACAAAAATAGAGCCAAGGCAAAGACCTTACTGTGTTTACAGAGTCAAAAGTATTAGTACAATTAATGCAACAAAAATGTATATATTTTGGAAGTTGACTTGCTTTTCCATTATTCATCATATGTTAGCAATGAGATCATGAATCCTTTTCCTCTTCTGAATCAGAGCCATTATAGGAATGTAGTTGATTCATATTCTCTTTCCCCGATGTGTCTTGGGTACATTTTTATTACATGAAGTTTATTCAGGTACCTGCTGCATGCAAGACAGTACAACTAATCAAGTCTTTTGTTTATATATATTAATATCCTCTTTTTTCTGAAATGTATGAAAGAGCTAAAATTCTGGTTAATATCATTACATGGCATAAAATTCCACTTGTTTCAGTGGAATAATGTCATTTTATTTATTAAGAAATATGTCTGCACTGGATCTTCTCTATCTAAGGCACATAAAGGAATGAAGTTCACTATAGCTCTGGGAAATAGAAAAGTTTCAGTGGAGACAAATTTCCATGTATTAGCTTCTGCTCTTTCAAACAGGAAAATGAATGGAAAATCAGTCAAGCAAATGTTGGAATGGTAGCTGTCATATCGCTAGTGATTGAATGGGAATTTGTTTATTAGTCTTTAGGTTATTATCATGAAACTTTTAATATAATGGCAGATCTCTTTAAAAAGATCCCATGCACAAGAACGATAACCTTAAATGTTTCAAGCTTTTCTGTGAATAATGTTTAGCTCATGAAAGTTTTCCCATCCTTGGGCTGATATCCATTCTCTTCAGGCTTATATGTGCATTATGTTACTCCAAAAATAGTTCTTTGGAGAAGAAGGAAAATGTCATGTGGGGAGAAATAACTATCTCTAAATGGACAGATCATGTACAAGGAAATGAAGGTTATACATTACTATGCATATGAGAGTATTCTAGGATGGGAAGTGACCAATTCAGTATTCAAAAAGACCAAATGGGGAA